GGGTTACAAATATTTCAGTGTTGGATTACTAATAGCAAAGTGTTTGGTTACTAATATCACAGTGTTGGGTTATTAGTATTACAGTGTTGCGTTACAAATATTCCAGTGTTGGTTTACAAATAATAAAGTGTTTAGTTACTAATATTACAGTGTTGGATTACTAATATTACAGTTTTGGGTTACAAATATTTCAGTGTTGGGTTACTAATATTACAGTGTTGGGTTACTAATATTACAGTGTTTGGTTTCAAATAGTACAGTGTTAGGTTACTGGTATTACAGTGTTAGGTCACTAATATTACAGTGTTGAGTTACTAATATTACAATTTTGGGTTACAAATATTTCAGTGTCCGCTTACAAATAGAATAGCGTTTGGTTACTAATATCATAGTGTTTGGTTACTAATATTACAGTGTTGGGTTACTAATATTACTGTGTTGGGTTACTAATATTACGTGTTGGGTAACAAATATTTCAGTGTTGGGTTACAAATAGCAAAGTGTTTGGTTACTAATATCACAGTGTTGGGTTACTACTATTACAGTGTTGGGTTACTAATATTACAGTTTGGGGTTACTAATATTACAGTGTTGGGTTACTAATATTACAGTGTTGGATTTCCAATAGTACAGTGTTAGTTTAATAATATTACAGATTTGAATTACCAATATAACAGTATTGGTTTACTAATATTACAGAGTTGGGTTTCAAATAGTACAGTGTTGGGTTACAAATAGTAAAGTGTTTGGTTACTAGTATCACAGTGTTGGGTCACTAATATTACAGTGTTGGGTTACTAATATTACAGTTTTGGGTTACAAATATGTCAGTATTGGTTACAAATACTAAACTTTTTTGGTTACTAATATCACAGTTTTGGGTTACTAATATTACCGTGCTTGGGTTGCTTTGGGTTACAAATATTTCAGTGTTGGATTACTAATATTACAGTTTTGGGTTACAACTATTTCAGGGTTGCGTTACAGATAGTAAAGTGTTTGGTTACTAATATTACAGTGTTGCGTTACAAATATTCCAGTGTTGGTTTACAAATAATAAAGTATTTAGTTACTAATATTACAGTGTTGGATTACAAATATTTCAGGTTTGGGTTACAAATATTTCAGTTTTGAGTTACAAATAGTAAAGTGTTTGGTTACTAATATCACAGTGTTTGGTTACTAATATTACAGTGTTGGGTTACTAATATTACAGTGTTAAATGTCAAATTTGAAATTAGGAATTTTTATTGAGGAATTTTGCCGTAATGGTTTGTGGTCGAGAAAATACTTGTTCAATTGTCTATAGTATTGTATTAGACAGGAAGTGGAACTTTATCACATAGCTAATAGTACTGAGTTGATTTGAAAGTAACGCTGTTGTTATGTTGATAGTAGTGATACTCTGTTCTGTTGGAAAAATTAAATATTGTAAAACTACTGGACTACGTATATGGAACGTCAATACGAATATTGCACATTAGCATACTAGATAGGCGCTCTAATGTAAAGGGGTTACATTCCAGAAACAGTACAGTATCTTATTGTGAGAAAATACAATTTATTATATTAAAATACGGGTTTAGAGTTGAGGTCAGGGGTCAAAATGCTACTGATTGATATTCATCCAATCGCTAGTGATTTACGCATTCCTAGACAGTTTATTCAATTTATGGGTCTTCGTCAAAGACTTCACTGATTAAATAAGAAATTCGAGTTTGCCAAAGCATTACAGGTTGACGGAAATAAAGCCGAATCATTGACAGGAATCATTCCAGATGTTGGGTACATGACGAGTGCCGCAACATTGAATGTATCTTGCGTTGCAATCTATTATGAATGTTGACAGCAGAAACGTGCCACTTGCTAACTGATACTACCAATGACAATTTATGCAAATGAGTTGTGAATGACTAATATATTGCGGCCTTGCGTAAGGCAGACAGCAACTTGAGAACAAATATTTTGCGTCAATATTCTGTGCAGCAGATGCCCATGCACTCGTCAAACAATTATGATGGTGGATTTTCTCAATTCCATCAAATAATGATTTATAAAATCAACAAATATATAATGTTAATGATAATGTATTAGAATTCCCAAAAACGTCTCATTACAATTTTAACCTTTAAAAATTAAGCGAATAAGGTCACCAAATACGGCCTTGAGAATTAATATTTATGACGTAAATGCAGGCGACGGATGTCGTTCATAGCGACACACCATAGATCTCTGATTGTCAATAAAAAGAAATGTTTAGAAATTTTGAATGACAAAATCTTCACAACCAAACATATTACACATAATAAAAATAACATGTACAAAATGTAATAATATTAATGATTAATAATAATATAACTATAGTAAATTGCGTTACAAATTAATGGTACTATTTTGTCAACGTCGTTATTACCAATGTAGGTTTAATAGAACTGTTAACAAGTTGTTTGCAGTAAAGTCCACATTTGAGTGAGAAATTTATTATTCAGACATATATGCAACTACCACATATCTCCACCATTTGACTCTGATATCGTCTACTAATATAGCCAACTTATTTGTTCGTGATTTTATTCATTTAATACTGGGTTGAAATTAATTATGTCACAAGATGAAATCATAGAATGATATTTGCATATATTTACTATTATATTAAACTAATGCAATGTTTAAATACGGTCGTTGTGATTGGTCAACTTACAATGCTAACTGCGCATGTATATACTCGCGATGTACCATGGCTATGACGTTCCTACTCAGGCCCGAATATTGAGTAGAAATTATTAACACTAAACCAGTACCATTCAAGGATTAGGTGAAATATAATTGCATTATGGGAAAACGAATGAAAATTTATATTAGTGTTATATTTATGAATATTTATATAATAATAGTTAAAAAAGTTGGATTTCAAAATAACGTAGGTGATATGAAATTTAAGATGGTGGTGTTATTCTGGAACGTACAAAACCATTGCTGCAGTTTAGCAGCTCTTATTGGCCGCTTAAGCTATTTTGATATTACGTTGCGGCCATAGAGCTGCAGATCGCGTCCATTGAGAACCGCACAGTTCGCCGCCCCGGGATCCCGGGGCGCACGCTATTTTTGATGTTATCGAACGATTTCAATGAAATTTAAAACGAATAAAAGTTATCCTTGCAAACACAAACATCTTAGGTATCTACTGACCGAAAATGAAGGACTATTTCTTCTTGAAAAGTATATATTTCTGTGTATAATTAGACCGAACGTAATTTAATCGATTGAACGACGGATTTCAAGATGACCTCTGTCATGTGACCTGATCACATGACAATGACGAAGCATGTGCAGTTGACATTTTAACTGAAAATTGAGAATGGCAGGTTCTTGCATTCATTGTGGAGATGAGTTCCAGAAGAAAGTTAAAGGGTATCGCAGGCAATCCATTGCATCTAGACTTAAAACCTCAGAAACTGTTGACAATGCATTAGTGAATGATTCTAAAGCTGAAACCCATTACCCTGTTGGCTTGTTGTCTCTTTCCGCATAATATTGAGGAGCATTGGTGGTAAAATATGCATCATACTTTTGCCATACCCTGTTGGTAATATGGCCAATGTGTGTATATTATTTAAAATACAAGTAGTACCTTCTA